TCAAAATTCTGTGAGTGGCTAGGGAGGTGTAAAACTAGGCTCTACCTCTTCAAACTCATCTTGTCTCATTTCCAACCTGGCTCCCTGTGCTTCTTTAGTTTCCTTTGGTAAATCTAGCTCCTTGCCACCTGAGCTAGTCCCCTGCCTGTAGTCCCATCTGGCAGATTTTACAGATCTCAGCCAAAATTTCATTTCCTCAAAGAATAATTCCCTGTCCCCCTTGATGAGAGTGGTCTTCTTATTGGTGGATTCATTACAGTTATAATTAAAGAGTTAATTATGTGAGTAAGCAGCTGTAGAATATCTGCCTTTTTCATTAGTCTGTAAGTTCCACTTGGGAAGGAACAGTGTCTACCTTATTACTCTTCATGTTCTGAATGCCTAGCTATTTCATAGTAAATACAACATTATAGCATAAAGATTAAGAGCTTGGCATCTAAAGTCAAGATTCCAGAGTTAGAGAATGATATTTTGGGGCAAGTGGCCCAATATCTCCAAACTTCAATTCCTTAATCTATACAGTAGGGATAAGAAAGGTACCATTTTATAAAGCTATTGTTAAGATTAAATAAGATAATTCGTGTAAAGTGCTTACACTGTTATTTCCTTATGGAAAAAGGCTCAGTGTACTTGAATGATTGTGTAGGTGATGATTTTTGTTAAACCACATACTTCCTCTGTGTTTTATTCCCTTGCACAAGCAAGTAACATTTTTATACTAGAACTTCCCACGTGTTTTATTAAAGGGAAAGAATGAACTATTTTGGCCAAAAAAATTGATATAGTTCTCTTAACAATTATAGTTTTAAATGTAAATTATAAAGACATGCTTTGGTTTATGCTTTGCAGCTTCCTGTAAGCTTCAGTTATATGACTCAACATGTGTAAGTGCAATTTATTTCTAGGACACTTATAAGGTCAAGTGTTGGGATTGGCCAGTCTGGTATGCCATAGTCACCGAAGAGGTGCCTCCCTGTGAAGCCTTTTGGTGCCCTGCCAGCCAGCGTTCCCCTGTCAAGGCTCAGATCTTATTTAATACCCTCCCCCTCACTTCTACAGCACCTTTATTTATGTATGCTAGGAAAATTTTGAGAAATGAGTCTTAGCCAAATATATATTAATTACATGTCTTAAAAGTATTCCGGTTTCCATAGGACCCAATCAAGTGTCTGGAGGACAAAGATGGCATTCCCAGCCACTCAACAACTATTTTTTGATCACATCATTGGATAAAATATTAGAGGTTATTTAACTGATTGTGTGAATAAATGGAGAATAATTGACTAACAAATGCTAATATTCTGGCAATACTGCATTGTGAGAAGTAATATAGCATCATGGTTAATTAACAGCACTGGCCTCTATAGTGATGCAGCTTTGGAGTTATTCCCCCCCCCCCAAAAAGTGGGTCTACCACTTCAGGAAGTTATTAACTTTTCAAAGATTCAGTCTCTTATGTGTAAAATGGAGGCCACATGGAGTTCATCTTCAGGACTATTAGGAGAATCCAACAAGATAATGTATAGAAAGCACTTAGTGTAATGCCTGGCAAATGTTAAGTGTTTCAAAATAATAGGTAGAGATGATTTCTATTTTTAATGTTATTCAGATAAATATATCAAAATCTCAAGAGGGCAAGAAAATAGGACTTATGATTAAATATGACTTTGCATATGTCATTTAATGTCTTGGAATACTTAATTCCTATGTAAATTAAGTTTCTACTTTTCCATATGGGAATTTGTTCATGAATAAAATTTCAAGCAGTAATCTTTATATAGCATTTTATAAAAATATTCATTAACCTCTTTCTATGTAACTGGCATTATGTTAAATCTTTTTAATGCATTATCTCATAACAACTCAATAATAAAGGTACTAACATTATCTCAATTTCACAGAGAGGAAAATTTGGATTAGAGTGATTAATTAACTTGTCTACGGATATAAAGATAATAATGGAGCTAGGAGCCAAACTTAAACAGTGTGACTTCAAGGCCCATGTGCTGGGCTATGCAAATATGATTCATGTACATCTTTGGTCTCCGTAACAGAAGATGGGGTAGGCAGAAAAGAGTGTCACCATTTTGTAGAAAAGGAAATTGCTGGAATCAGTGATAAATGATGTTTTCGGGGTCACATGGCTAATCAGTTGTGGAGCTAGATCTGGAACTTCCAATGGCTAATGCTAACATGAGCATTTATACATAGCCATTCCTTGTTACCTCTCAAAAATAAAAAGGAAGGTAATTATAGCTGTGAAAGCACTTTGAATAGAACATGAAGTGGTTCAGAAATGAGAGTGATTTTTGTTATGATTATCTTTTTAACTATTGGTATTATCCTTGATGTCCTTGAAAGGAAGGCCTAACAGAACTAGTTCATTTCACTAAGTCAAATGTATCCATCTAACACCATATTGGTGTGCAGGACGCATTGGTTGGAACCAACGCTGAAAGGACTAGATCTGGAGGATGGAACTTAAAAAGTGTGAAATGTTCAGCCTCATGTAGGAAATCTCAGGTCTGAAGATAAACGAAAGGCCTTTTCTTACAAAGAATAGTGACTTTCCAAAATTTCTGATTCTACTAAATATAGAAAGGAGGATTGTTATGCTGAGGGTTGGTTAATTCTCCAGTGTTGCAGGATAGGGCTTCATTGATATGAATTACATTGGGTAGGGTCAAATGTGTGACTCTGCTCCTTAAAGTGCTGTGACTATGGAAAAGCTATAACAGCACATCTATCAACAGATTGTCAGATAAATACCAACCAGGCTGCCAGACCTGGCTTTGCTCTGGGCCAACCTGGTTTTGACTCAGAACTTGGGTAGCCTGTTTCACATACTCACCCACATTCCTCTTCTGTCCTGACGTTACCCATCTCATACCCTGTCCCTGTTTCTGGTTCAGCCACTCCTTTCTGTTGCTCTGGTGATTTTGCTTTAGTGTCCCTGTTTACTATAAAAATGTATTAAATTCTGGCCTTACCCACTGTACAGAGCCTCAGAAATTCTTTAACAAGCAGGACCTTGCCCAACCAGGACAATCTACATTGGGTTTCCTCATCTATATCTTTAGGGGGAACAAAACAAAGAAGTAACAAGGGCTGGAATTTGGATTCAGGTAACTCTGGGCTCAAGATCCAGATTTGATTCTAATTCTTAAATATTTGACCTTAGCTAGTATTTAAGTCTTCTGAGCATCAGTGGTATTCCTTAAAATAAGATAAGCATGGTACCTGTATCACAGAGATGTGGGCAGAGATAGATGGCTTTGGCCTTGCCTTTGATAAATGCTAAACAAGTTAACCAGTGCCAAATAATGTTAGTTATTTTTATTACATCCCTGTTGGGTTGAAATTCCCCAGCATATTTTCAACTCAATATAAATTTAAAGGGTAAGAACCATGTTTTCCTTGTTTCATCAGATATCTCCAGCCTCTAGCAAACAAAAGGTGCAGAGTAAATTTTTTTATATTAACAACTGGTAAGGATTACAAAGACACCCTATCACCAAGGAGACTGTGACTCCCCAAGTCCTGTGCAAAGTGGGCTTATAGTGGAACTGAAAAATGGTTCCATGTTAAAGTGTTCTCCCCTCTAGAAGCTGCTAGTTCAGATTCCTGAACATGAAATACAAAATCAAAGTAAAAGTATTAAATTGATATGATTGGTGAGAATGATGGCGATGTACCTTGAGACTCCTACTGAAAATAAATTATAAATTAAGATAGAATATTTTTAAGATGTAGGAATAAAAACAAGAAAACCCTACCTGATTACGAAATACAATGTTGTAGGGGGCAGTGACCCAGATAGCAGAGTAGGAAGACCCTGAGCTCTACTCTTCCCATGGGCAAAATACAACTATTTATAGAACAACTGTCAATGATAATGACCTGAAAACTACCAGGAAATATTTTCCACAAATAAAGATATAAAAAAGGAACAAGACAGGAAGGAGGGGTGAAGATGCAGTATAGTCAAGGCCTGCACCCCTGGGTAGAGGACCCATTTAAAAATACACTTAAAAATATATTAAGAGTGTAAATCTCACATTGTGTCCTTACTACAATAATGAGAAAGAAAGAAAAAAGAAAGAAAGAAAGAAAGAAAAAGAAAGAAAGAAAGAAAGAAAGGAAGGAGGAAGAAAGGAAGAAAGAAAGAAATGCAAAATTGACTCTTAGATAAACACTGAGAGAATGGAGCATTAGCGATCTGCAAAACAAGAAATATACAAGGAAGTTCATCATGACAAGAGAAATAAGACACAGGGAAATAATGGAAATAAGAAGCTGGGTTTCTCAAGCTTCTAACCAGAGATACAATAATAATAATGATATTAATAATAATTTATTATTAATAATAATAGTAGTAGTTTATTACCATTGTGGATAACAAATTACCACAAATTTAGTTGTTTAAAACAACATATATTTATTATCTCACTTTCCATGGGTCAGTAGTCCAAGCATGGCATAGCTAGGTCCTCTGTTCAGGGTCTCACCAGGCTGCAATCCAGGTGTTAGACAGGCTGCTTTCTCAACTGGAGGCTGTACTAGCAAAGAATGGGTTTCCAAGCTCATCCAGGTTTTAGGCAGAATTAATTTTCTCATAGGTGTATGACTGATAGTCCCAATCTTTTGCAGGTTATCAGCTGGAGGCCACCTGCAGATCCTAGAAGTCACACACAGTTCCTTCCCATGTGGGTTTCCTCAACATATCTGTTTGCCTTTTCAAGCCAACAAGGAGAATCTCTTGCTCCAGTCTGCTAAGACGGTTTCTTACATAATAGAATGTAATCAGTGGGTGACATCCCATCACCTTTGCCAATTCTCTTGTCTAGAAGCAAGTCTCAGGTCCCTCCCACACTCAAGGGGAGAGGATTACACAAATTCATGGACACTGGGAGGTGAAAATTATTGGAGGGGTCACCTTAGGGTCTGTGCGCCACATTCTTATGACAAAAACCTGCTTCCTTAGAGAAAGGAAAGTGTATTTAATTTTGCAAACATCCCTCCATCAATCTAATTAGGTCTTGGTAAACTTCATAGGGTGCATCCTGTCCAAGGTAAAAATCCACATGATTGTAGTGTGGAATCAACTTGAAATAGATAAGCCTGGTAATTTTAGGAAGTAAATTCTCAACATCTTTGAGATCAGCCACAGGGTCCTGTCCACCACTCCACACTGCTGTTGGAACTTCCATCTTAGAAACGTTGTATAAGGGAGGTATATGCTAAATAAAAATGAAGAGAGAGAAAAATAGTTTTCACAGAAAACCACACTATAGAAATAACGTTAACTGTCAGTTGTTAAGCAAGTTCTTCAAATGCTAAAAATGTGCAATTAGGACATACTTAATGATATATAAACATTAACATGTTAAAAATACTTGAAAGTACTTTTGTGCAATAATATGAATTGTGGATTTAAAAAAGACAACCATTATATTCCTGATTTTCACTTTTGGGAAAAAGAAAAGGATCCCAGAGGAAGAGAGGCTCTCATTTCTATGGGGGACCATCTTTCTAGTAGCACTTGGGTTGAGAGTGTATCCATTTCAAACAAAATATTGGATAGAATAAATATAAATACCCCTTCTTTTTTTTTTTTTTTTTTTTTTTTCTTGCGTTATGAGAGCCTCTCACTGTTGTGGCCTCTCCCATTTGCGGAGCACAGGCTCCGGACGCGCAGGCTCAGCGGCCATGGCTCACGGGCCCAGCCGCTCTGCGGCATGTGGGATCTTCCCGAAACGGGGCACGAACCCGCGTCTCCTGCATCGGCAGGCGGACTCTCAAGCACTGCGCCACCAGGGAAGCCCTAAATACCCCTTCTTATATGCAGAAATCTGGGCTCAGGGGAGTTAGTAACACTTGAGAAGACTCTTTAGGGGGCATTGAGACTAATGTACAAAAAAGACATTTGAAAATAATGTTAAAAAGGAGCCAGCCCGTTACAGAGAAATAGAGTGGCTATGATGCTAATCCCCTGGCAAGTTTCCCTTCTTTCTGGTAACACGACGTTTCTTGTGCTGATTCAACAAATCCCAAAACCCCAGTTCCAGAGTGGTCCAGGGTGATCAGTCCTGGTCAATTAGTCCTTCATTCTTCTGGCCGCAGCATAATTGTATGAGCGATGGGCACATTACTAAAATTTGGTCAGAGTTCTCTCGGGAACTTTTTACCAGAGCTATTGAGAAAATATTGCCATTTTCTTTGCGTTTGCAGTTAAAAAAAGCTACATGAGCTAGGTGCACACCGTTACCATTGTACTACTATCTTGGAAATAGCCTAAGAATGGAAACAGCATATGCAAGCAGAATTGAAAGAGACTGAGAGGGAGAGAGAAAGAGAGAGCCTGAGGAAGGTATGTAAGTTCCTGGCTATTGTGCGTTTACCACTATACCTTTTATTTCAGTAAAACTAAAACATTTTTTTTTAAATATAAAATAAAGTTGATTTCTACTACTTACAATGGAAAGAGTTGCATATTCTATGGACTAAATTGTGTTCCTCTCAAATTCATATGCTGAAACCCTAACCCCAAGATGATTGTATTTGGAGACAAGGCTTTTAGGAAGTAATTAAGGTTAAATGAGGTCATAAGGTTTGGGTCCCAATCCAATAGGATTTGTGGCCTTATAAGAAGGGGAAGAGAGAGAGATTAATGTCTCTCTCTCTCGTCAACCACATAGAGGAAAGGCTATGTGGATACACATGAGGAAGGTGGCTTTCTGCAGTCCAGGAAGAGAACCCTCACTAGGACCTGACTGTGCTGGCACATTGATCTCAGACTTCCAGTTTCCAGAACTCTTAGAAATAAATTTCTGTTGTTTAAGCCACTCAGTCTACGGGACTTTTTATGGTAGCCCAAGGAGATTAATACACCGTAGTTAATTTTGGCAGCAAGACTAGGAAGAAAAGGTAACATGGACCAGGTTATAAATCCTTAGGAAACAGTAACATTGGCCAGGGAAAGGTTTCTAAGAGTGCATTTATGGTAGCACTGAAATTGCTTTTTTAAAAATTTTCAAATTTCCTTCCTACCCTTGATTTGTAAAACCCATGTATCTTTGATGACTATTTGTCTAATTTAAGCTCAGTCTATCAACAAGAGGCCAAAGCCATCATTGGATTTCCTTACATACTGAAAAAATAATAATAACAACGACACCTATTTGCTTTAATATAGAGTTTTTGCTCCAAAAGTTTTCATGTATAATATCAAGAAATATTTTGACATATCATTAACTGGCAGATAGGACTGCTTCTCCCTTAAGGTGATATTCCTGTCTGGAATATCTCTAATAATTCATGTACTTTTAAAAAATGACTAGTAAATGACATCCCAAAGAATTATTAGGAAAATGTTAGTTCATTTTATGAGAGACAGTTAAGAAGCCAGAGAATATACTCCAGAAACAAAATTATGTATCTTTAATTCTTTCTTTAAAATATGGTCTTGGGCTTCCCTGGCGGCGCAGTGGTTGAGAGTCCGCCTGCCGATGCAGGGGACATGGGTTCGTGCCCCGGTCCGGGAAGATCCCACATGCTGCGGAGCGACTGGGCCCGTGAGCCATGGCCGCTGAGCCTGCATGTCCGGAGCCTGTGCTCCGCAACGGGAGAGGCCACAACAGTGAGAGGCCCGCGTATCGCAAAAAAAAAAAAAAGAAAAAAGAAAAAAAAATATGGTCTTAATTAAGTGCTGAGAATTTCTATTTTTTGAAAAGGAATAAGTGTAGTGGAAGAAGAATGGACTTTTGATCCAGGAACTCCTGTGTCGTATTCTGGTTCTCTACAAGCTAAATAATTTTGACAATTTACCTAAAACTCTCTGAGCTTCTGGAAAAATAGAGACAATAATATTTACCTTGGAAGGTCATTCTGAGGATCAAAAATAATGTTATGGCACATGGTAAGAACCCAATAAACAACATCTGATCTATACAAAATATCTGGCATAGTGAATGGGGCCTAGTAGGTGCTTGATGAGTAGATACTATTTTTTAAATTCATTTGCAATATGCAATTGTTTGATTATTGTTGATATTATACCTGGTGGAAGTGCCTCATGTTCTGATCAGGGTTTCCCCAATCAAAAGCTTGGAACTGACCAGAATTAACAGCCTATAATAAGATAAAAATAATAAACATGTTAAAATGATGCAAGAAAACAACATACATTTAAAGACAGTTAACAAAAAATTTACAAAATGGTTTGACATAATGTCCCACTCTTTAGCACATGAGCTAAAAGTCAATAAAGTTTAATAAGTCAAATAATAAAAATGATAAAAATTGATACTAATTCACGGAACTGACTTACAATCCTTTCTTCCCCTCTATACTTTTCCAACAAAAATCCTCAAGCAGTGATGGCTTTAAATATTACAATGTTGTATACATAGAAAATGTTTGAAAGATGCTAAATTGAATGATTCTTGAATACCCTGGCTTCAGGAATTTATATATATATATTTTTTAAAGGCACCAACTATACATTTCCTACATTAAAAAATGACTGCTATTATTATTTAAAAACTTTATGCTGTATCATCCTTGTCAGATGGTCTATGATATTATGATTATATTCCTTATTCTTAAACATTTTTGTTACTTTTGAAAGGAATGCTCACTAAAGAACACCCTCAGGGCTTTCTGAGGTATAGCCTCTGTCTGTCTGTCTCCTGTCTATAGAGCCAAGCAGCCCGCCATGTTGTCAGTAATATGGCCATGGACTGAGTGTCTGAGACAGCGTATGTAACCTGTTTTCATTTTAAATTTTAGACTTCAGATATTAGAGTAGAAGCATTAATACTTCTAGGGGATCCTTTTTCTGTTATTTGCTACCCATTTTGGATTGAGGAGACAGATAATTTTTACCTCTACCTCAAGCACTTCATTAAATTATTCTCAGACTACTCCAAGGATTTTTTTTTTCCCTTAACTTGAATCTCAGATTTTTTTTTCACATTGATTTCGTTCTGATTTTTTGTTTGAAATGGTTCCCATCGTGATTTATATTGACAGAGGCAGTAGTCTGCAGCTGTTGAAATTCTGTAGGTTTTCAGCAATGAGAGGCAATAGAGTGTACAAGTTAGGAACTTGGGTTCTAGCATCAAACAGACCTTGTTTGAATCCAAGCTTAATGGATTATTAAGTCTGTGATCCAGGCAAGATATGTATCTTCTCTAAACCTATTGTCTCATCTGTGCAATGGAAATGACAATAACGTTCTTCTTATAGGGCTGTGAAGATTAAATATGGTAATGCATAAAAAGCATGTAGCACCTGGGAATGGTCAAGAAATCACTCTTTTTATTAATATTACTACCATCATCACTGTCATCATCATCCGTGCCTTAGCTCTCTACATAACTTATGACCAAATGTTTTATCTCCCCACGCCCAGTTATTTCTATTCTGAAGAGAACTTTCTGTCAAAGGAGAAGAGATATCTTTAAGAAGAGTCAGCTGTGAGATGTGTAAGGGGTTGGTTATGACATCTGTAGAATGGGAATATCAATGCCTTCATTGAAAGATTGTTATGAGAATTCATAAGAAAGAATGAGACAGAATTAAATCGTATATTTGGACAACAAGGACACATAGTAAGTGCTCAATAAATGTGAAATTGAAGTTGTATTTCCTGGAAAGGCATGCCTATCAGAGTCTACCTGTCTCCTCACCAGTAGGAGGCTCTGTGTCCAGAATATCTTTCTTCCTGTAGGAACTTGAAGGCTTATCTTCTGGGGGTGGAACTCTTCAAAGAATTTCAGAAATCCTCAACTAGTATTTCAGACTATCTATAGCAATGATTCTCAACTTTAAAGCATGGAACAAATTTATCAGGGTGTAGGTTAAAATTCAAATTCCTAGGGATCTCAGATCCCTATTAAATGTTTTAAAGTATTTAAAACTCAAAATGTGTAATTAAATATTAAAACTTTGGGAAGACCTTGCCCCCCATACACACACTCATACATACTTGGCTCAGAAAGCTATACCAACAGAATCTGACTTGCCAAATATTGAGTAATATAGTAACAAAAAAAAAACATAACCCTTAAACTGAGAGTAAAAACAGAAACCATCTATTTTAATCCCTCTCTAACATTTAATTTCCTCTGAATTAAGCAATATTTCCACACTCTGAAATCGCCCATATCCCAATTAGAGGATAAACAGATCTTTTTGGAATAGCCTGTATCATGTTATATAAAGCTCTATTAGAGCTAATGATTTTGCAAAAGAGGAAACACAAGCTTTTCCTAAAAAAGGCAATTCTGAGTAATCTAAAGGTCAGAATTTAGTCAGAATACCTGGGAACCCAAACACCAGATACAGAGAATAGAGAGTAAAGATGGGAGTAAAGGAAATCAACATGAGTAGATGCTGATTCCAGCAACATCCACCTGACAGTAGCAGAACCTGCAAAACCCTGCAGTGAGCTCTCTTGGGAGTGCTCCTCAGGGATCTTGCAGAGATATGTGCGTGTCATATCAGGAACAGGGAGCATGTACCTGGGCCCAGTGCAGCATATTCTGAACAGATGTTCCCGCATGGCTTTGTGACAAATAAACGTCTAAGCGACTCTGCAAAGTAAAAAGATTCTTACCTGAAGGCTAATCATATAATCACACAGCAAGTAAATCTGAGTATTTTTTTTCTCTCTCTTTCTCTCCTCTCTCTCTCAAGGAATAAACATGTACCATACCCTCTAAAGACATATTAACCAAAGAAGAAGCCTGTCTTTAAGAACTTTTTTCTCCCTCATTTCCATACTTCTGTCCTGGGCAGTATCTTTGTAAAGCCCACAGAGGGCATCCTGCTGGTCAAAGACACAAGGTGATGTACCTTTTCTTTCCAGCCTCACCTCAGACAGGTCCAAGAATATAGACAGTCAAGAGGTAAAATCCCCAGTGATCTCCTTCACCCTGTGATAAGTTCTAAGGGACATTCCCAGAAAGTTGTTCATCATGAAAGATTGAGAACAGATCTGAATGTTTTATCACGCCTTCTTAAAAATTTGGTAAATGTTCTGCAGGACTCTTTGACAGTCTGTGGGACATAATCCATCCAGTATTTAAACCTCTATTAATGATTAGATTTCTTTTTGAATCAAAAAAATCTTGATTTTTAAATATTTCCAACAGCATTTTATTTGCTTTAGTATACAAAAGAGTTATTTTCCACCAGAGAGAGTATCTGAAACATCTTGGAGCTTTAAAAAATATAGCTACTTATGAGCTACCCAAACCTATGAAACAATACCAAAATCTCTAGGGTTGAGTTCTGGGCATGTGTAAATTTTGAAAGCTCTATAAACTCTACTTATGTATCCCTGGTTATGCTCCACTAAAGTAAACATCCTTGCAGGCACTGTAATATTCTATAATCCAGTCCACAACAGCGAGAGAAAAAGGGCAATCTGACTATATAAATGTACAATGAGGGCATCCAACAAATGTTCTAGGATGTCATTTTGTGAAGTCTTTCTTTAGCAAATTCTTAGGCCATGTTGAGAGGGTGTTTTTTGAAATTGTCTCTATTGAGTTTGCTTAAAGGTCTTTTTCCTCAGCTCTACGTGGTACACTTCCATCTAAGCGAAAGGCAAGCATGATTTCCCTAGTAAATTGAGAAAGTAAGAAAGTCACGTGAAAGGTTTACCCCTTTGGATAAAAGACCTAAGTCGTTCACAAAATGACTATGTCCAAATCACCTATGAAAGTAGAAAATTGGTTAAAAATTAGATGGCTGGGCTCACTCCCTGAAATTCTACGTCAGTAGGTCTGAGATAGGGCTCAGGCATAGCAAGATAAATTTCAAAGCCATAGCCTAAGTGAAGGACTCTTTAATGGTGGCACTTTGTCCAACAACAAGAATTGGTGAGAATTTTCAGCAGCAGAGACATCTCAAATCCTCCTGTTAAAGCAGGTGGACTCTCAGCTTCGGTTGGAAGCCATAAATATGCTAGCTACATTCCAGGAGACAAAAAGGACACTTTGAAATGTGGTTTCCATGCAATTTAGAATGAACTCTCCTTACCTCTGTGCAACAAAACAACTGCTTTCCTGGATCTGACTACTTACACGTACCATGTTTAAGTTTTTTGGGTCAAATCCACTCCAAATAAATAGAAAGTTGCTGCAAATATGATGAAATATCTTCCGGTTGCACACCTTGGTGGCAATGAATCGGTCAAAAAATATGTGAGGATAGAACATCTTGTCACCAAACAACATCTGCAAGATCAATTTAAGACACCATCAAGCTTTTTCCCAAGATCTTTTACTTGGAGTGTTTTTTTGGGACTTCCCCTAAAAAACTAGTCCCCATAGGAAATTGGTAAGCCTTTGGAGTCAGGGTTGCCTTGGTTTGATTCTAGACTCTGTCTCTTATACCTTAGGAAAGTATTTAATTTCTATTATCCTGAATTTCTTCAACTATAAAATAGAAAATTAATATGCACTAAGTAGAACTGCTGTGTAGATAATAGGTCACATTTAAGACGCACTAGTGCAGAGGATAGTAGGCAAAATGGTGGAGTAGGAAGACCCTGAGTTCATTTCTCCCCACAGGCACCCTAAAATCACATGCTGTGATCTCAACTACTACACTATACTGTCCCTGATAAACTAGGGTGCACCAGAGAGAAATTTAACCTACTAGATTAAACCAATCAATCAATCAAATCAGCTCTTGCTGTATCTGTGACTGAGGAATGACATGAGATAAGCCTCTAAGTTAAAAATGAAGACAGCAGGGTAGAATGGCAGCAGAGTGAGCACCCTGAACCCTGTTGGTAAAATTGTACATCATCAGTAAACCTACATGTATACCTTGAGCATTCCTAGATGTTTGTAAAATGTTATTTGTCTCAAGCTGTCTTCTCTTGAAATCAATGGAAATAGGGCTAGTTTTAGTTACTACAGATTTAAACTTGGGGGAAAGTTGTCACATACCTTGATTATTTTTCTGGAAAGAGTTGTTAATTTTTTCATAGGACTTTGGGTGTATTTCACAGTGGTGACTGGAGCCAATGCAAAAAATATCTTAATCCTTTTAGCCAGCTCTGGATTAGTAGAGAATGCTATGAAAGCTGAAAGGGAAGAAGATACTAATTCATAGATTTAGAACAATTCTTAATTCATTTTAAATTATAGTAAAAGTAGTTATATTTAAAAAATAAAACAAAGAAACTCAGAGTAAGTACCATTTTTAGGGAAGGATTTTTAAATTTCTGAAGGTGGAACTGGCTAATTCAGAATAAAGTGAGTTTCCTGTCCCTGAAGGATGCAAATCTACTTAAAGAGAATGTTGCAGAAAGGGTTCAAACATACAGTGTGGGGCATGTCTAGGTAAACTCTAAGGGCCATTCTAGCTTGACGACAGTCTTTGGTATCAGACAAAACTGGGCTATAATTTTGGCTTCCCATTTGCTAGCTATGTGAAAACTTGGGCAACTTAACCTCCCCTGTATGAGTCTCAGTTTTCTCTATCTATAAATATGGAAAATAGAATCCTTATAGAATAATTCTTTTGAAGGTTAGATTATATATATATATATATATATACACACACATACACTTTCTAATTGGCTTTATCACCATTAGAAAGGATTCCTAACTTCAGCCATTTGTAAAATATGGATGACAATGCTCTCAAATAACTGGAGTAAATGCTGCTGGTATTGTCAAAGTCTCTAGCTGAACAGAGAACAGTGAAGAGAATGGAGTGTCTTATGGTACTGCCGACGTAGCCCACCCACACACATCTAGCCTATCCCAGCACCCACTGGGAACTAACTAAAAGTCACACTGGTTGTGACATATAATCACTGAGATTTGTAATCCTCTGCTTTTATTTTAGTGTCCCTCACTAGACTGTGAGCTCTTTAAGGGAAAGATGCATACCATATTTATTTATCTTTGGTTCCCCAGTATCTAACCTGGTGTCTGACAAGTGTTGTTGGGTACGCAAATGAATAAATAAATAATTGTCTCTCTTTCAGGCTTATCCATCAATCTCCAGATTTAGTCCTGGAGGGGAAATCCCTAAGTCATCCACACTTCATTTATTTACTCTTTAGATGCCAGTCAGACAAGATTGTTTCCCAGCTCAGAGTCCCCAAGCTAGAGACTGCACAGAAGGACCAAACACACCAGTGGTGGTGCCTTGGGAGTGGCCCACATAGTAGAGTCGCTCCTGTCCAGTTTTCTCTATGATAAAATTGATTGTGGCTGGAAGGTCATATTTAGCCATCTCATCCAAACTGCCAAAGAAAAAGAACAACAACATTGGAAAAAAACCCATCTCATTTTTAGGCTTGCAATACTTAACATATTCACTGCAGACCTAGATGTTTAGCTTTTGTTAAATGTAATACTGGAATCAATACGTGATATCATGTGTCTGTGCAACTTTTGAGGACACCATCTTGAGTGCAAGAATAACTTTGTTAAGAAACTGAAATCAGAAAAATCTGACTTGCAAAAGCCTCCAGAGGCTTTTCACTTAATTCTACAGCAGATTTACCAAGCTCCCTTGAAAAGAAAAATTACCTGGAATGCTTATTTTAAAAACAGAATAAAACAAAGAGACTTGCAGAGTTCAGCCCAGACATACTGAATCAAAATGTGCAGGGAAGAGGCCTGGTCATCTGCATATTTATCAAGCACTTCAGGTGCTTCTTTCCTGTATGTAGTTGGGAAAACACTCATCTAGGGAATCATGATGTTATTTGCAATTGTACCATGACACAACTGCCCTGGAATGTGGAATTAGGGAATGCAAATTGGCTTCCAGGAATGAGGCCAAGGAACAAACAGCTTTAGTGACCTTCAAGGAATGGTTCTTAGCTCCACTACAAGTGCGGGGTTTGCCTCTGTGATTCAGCTGGCCTAACTTCTAAGGAAGACAGCGTCCACAGGGGCTGCTGGCAACTCAGCTCCAGGGACAGATTTCAGCACCACCAGCCTATGGAGGGTAGAGTTCCTTTACTACTCAGTGAATTGGAGTGTCATCTGTGCTAAAGGGCTTGGCTCATCTTGGCTTATCATGAATGTCTGTTTCCCAGGATTTTCAACCAGAACCACCTTGTCTCTGGTCCCATTTCTTTTTTTTTTTTTTTCTGCGGTACGCGGGCCTCTCACTGCTGAGACCTCTCCCGTTGCGGAGCACAGGCTCCGGACGCGCAGGCTCAGCGGCCATGGCTCACGGGCCCAGCCGCTCCGCGGCATGTGGGATCTTCCCGGCCCGCGGCACGAACCCGTGTCCCCTGCATCGGCAGGCGGACTCTCAACCACTGCGCCACCAGGGAAGCCCTGGTCCCATTTCTTGATCAGTTTCATTTTTCCTCTTTAGTAAGGGTACCGAGTAAATTTCTGGGGTGCACACTGACAATATGGTAGTCCCGGAATTAACCTTTCTAAAGTTGACCTTTGCATCTTGATTTTTTTTTCTTGCGTATATACTTTACATACACACACGCCAAATGGAGTATTTAAAAGAACTCTCGATGCAATAATAAGGGCATTTCTTCAGAGCTTGTGAAGAAAACCTAAGTAGAAAAAGAAATGTCCATTTCCATCTTGTAGATTCCATAGCGTGCATTTGGACGGAAAGGGAAAATTCAAAGAGCAGTCATCCATATAAATGAGCAACGTACACACGTTATTCATTGGTAGTATTCTCCTTACCTGAAGGCCCAGTATTCTGGTGATGTGGTTGATAATTTCACATGTCTTCTGGACCAGATGTTTCCCCGGCTGTTCCCCATCCATACATCATAACCAACATCTGCCAGAAGGAAAGCCAAGCTGTTGTTGGGCAGGTTGCAAATCCAGTTACTGGCAGATGCAATTAAGCCATGCTGCAGATACACAGCAGGCTTTGCAGCTGCAAAATACAAGTAACAGGAGTTTTTTATATGAACTTCCTTGGTGCTTACAAGAAAATTCTTTTTCCTGACTCCCTGCAATACAGAAGGAAAGTTAAGAGATGAAATGTGGCACCAGGCAAGCCGAGGTTCTAGGGTTTTGAACTATTTCTGAAGCTGGGCGAGTTATTTATCTTCTCTATGTCTTGTTTTTCTCTTTGCAAAATCGGAATTATGTGCAGTGTATTGTATTGTTATACAGCTATTGGAGTCAGATTGCCCTGATTTAAAATCGCTTCTGCCACATGTTAACTTCTTTGTGCCTTAGTTAACTTATTTTATAATGGGGAATAATAAAAATTGCTATCTTATAGTGTAGTTATAAGAATTAAATTAGAATTAAAATACACAAAATTCTGTCCAGCACAATAAATATCTGCTCTACAATTATTCACATTAATGACATTTTATTTCTCAAAAAGCATCTGGTGACAAAACTAAGCTTTTTCCAAGATAATAACAAAGACAATAAAAATGCCATTTATTGAATGTTTCCTGAATGCCTGGCATTATGCTAGTTAATTTGCATTGTCAGAAAGCAAAATGCAAGGTTTTAAGTGAAATTTACACAAGGTAAAATTGTTAATTTGACGTAAAAATCCTACTCACAAGTAGAATTGGAACAATTTGACTAAAGAAAGAGAAAAAAAGAAGGAAACGGGGAAGTGGTGCTGAAAACATAGAGAAGAGAAAGAGAAGTGACTAGGATATTTCTGTCTTTTATAAATGGTCTGTGATGCTGTGTTGGTACCCCAGGACTTTCCCTTAGGTCACCTTTGGAGCTAGACCAGTTTCCTGGGATTGAGTAGGCTAGATTGGCCTCTCAGAAAGCCTCAGCTGTCTGGAAGTGAGGATAAAGTTTATATCCATTAATCCATCTTTTGAGGAAAAAGAGAAAGAAGAGGTGTTACTAGTTCTGCTAAATTACAGCCAAAGAGCTGTCATAATCCATAGCCCCTTTCTAATCTGAGCCCTTAGGCAGCTTCTCATTGCAGAGACAGCTTTCATCGCATGCCTTTTGGCAGCTACCTGGCAGAACTGATAAGATAAAAGTTTGGGGAAACAAAGTTCTTGTGAGTATTTCCAAAGGTAATGGAGTTATTTTAGGGGATGGTCAGTTCTATAAAGTGAACAGCACCGTTCCACCTCTCTCTCTTTTTTAAAATCTAGATTGTCTCTTTAAATAACTAACCCTTCTGATATTGGAAATTTTGGTTATACAATGCTCCAAAGAACAAAAGGAGCTAAGAAATGAGAGAAGAAAGCAAACAGTTCTTGCCAAGTGGATTCCTCTCTTCTCTATCGATATCAACCTATATTGTAGGGAGCTAGAAATGGCTCTAACTGCATTGAAGTATAGAACTAATAGGGTTAGATTTACTTTAAAAAATAAAATCCCAGTGACTTGCATAGAGAACTAATTACAAATGAAATAATCCCAGTTAGAAAGCTGTTGTAGTAGCTGGAGCACAAGATAATGGTGAAGTCGAAGCCTGGACTTGAGCAATATTGAAGCTGAGAGTTTTCAGATTAGAGAGAAGTTTGGAAGGCAAAATTGATAGGTCTTGGTTACTGGCTGGGTATAGGAAGTGTGGGAGAGGAAAGTACCAAAATGACCCTAGAGTTTTGGTTTTTAAGCCTGGAAAGTGGTATCTCTAGAGTAAGACCAAGTTTTCTTTTGTTTCTGTGTTTGTTTGGAAAGAGGACAAAGTGATGGAGGAAAGGAAAGAGTAAATAGTGTATGTGAAAATGCTTTCAAAACTCCGAAGTGTTACGCAAATGAAATAGTAGAGGTGGTGGTGATGATTTGCCTCCACTTATGTAAGAGAATAGGCTGTATTTCAGAATAAAAGCTGCCCTGCTGCTATCATCGCATCCAGGAATCTCTCCTTAGGCACTATTGCTTTCATAATGAAATAAATCCCACCTGTTCTTGGACATGCTCTTCCATGAGGAATCCTGTAAATTCCGAGAATATAACCATCTTTTGTCACAATGTCATATTTTTCATAAGGATAACCCCAGTAGGAAATAATCTGGCTCTAAAAAGAGGAAACGGAAAAGTATACCTCATGATGTAATCTCTTGACTTTTATACCCACATTTCAATATAGTACTTTAAGTCACAACCTACTGTTCATCTCTGTATTGGAACAGAATGTAGCAGGAAAATCACGATAACTTGAGGAGGGTTTTAAAAGGAGGATGCGTGCAAAGGCATGGGTAGGGTAAGGTGGTGGGTTTCCATACATGCTGGTTTTCTTGGCCTGGTATTATTAATGCACTCTAGTTCACTCTCCAAATGTTTGATGGAAAATGGCATGTTCATCTTACGAAGGAAACCATACGGCATTGTGCAGAACCCTGTGGCTAGTAACAAGTGAGTTGTTACCAACCTTAGATCTGAAGGGAGATGGGAGAAAGTGGTTACAAGACCCTGAATGAGAAAGTCAAATAAAGAGGGCCATATTGACAGGGGCTGTGACCTTTAGCAGAGGGAGACAGCTTGCCCAAGATGACCTTATGGACGGAACCAGGGCAGTAAACCATCTGGTCTCGCTCCTCTCCCACCTTCTGATCTCCTGCTCAATATGTCCATTGGCTGCACTGAACTGAAAACCAAAGGTCAAAGAAATTTAACAGACCTAGTTCTTACAGGGCAGAAAGAAAGGTGTAAAGACTAGAGAGTGGATCTAAAGGGGTAAAAACAGAAGATACCTCATCCACAGATATATAAGGAAGAGGGGAACTACCGTTTATTGGTCATCTTCCACATAGAAGATGGTTAACACCCCTTGTTTTATTATTTTTTTAATTAAAAAAAAATTTTTTTGCGTTATGCGGGCCTCTCACTGTTGTGGCCTCTCCCGTTGCGGAGCACAGGCTCCGGACGCGCAGGCTCAGCGGCCGTGGCTCACGGGCCCAGCCGCTCCGCGGCATGTGAGATCTTCGCGGACCGGGGTACGAACCCGCGTCCCCTGCATCGGCAGGCGGACTCTCAACCACTGCGCCACCAGGGAAGCCCTACACCTTGTTTTATTAATCCATATAACAGGTCTTTGAGATAGAATTATATCCATTTTATAGTTGAGAAAACTGAATTTCAGGGAGAATAATAATCTGTCCAAGACTGAACACTAGGAAGAGATAAAGACAAAATTTAAGTCAAAGTTAGTTTAGCACCAAAGCATATGCTTTTATGACAGGATTATGCATTTTCCCAGGCCGGGCACTTACTAGAGGTGTGCACATATTGTGCAGCTATATAAAGCACTGGTTATGAGAGCCCAGACTCTAGAGACAAGCTGTATGGAATTGAATTCCAGCTCTTCCTCTTATTAGCTATGCAGCTTTGGGCAAGTTACTTAACTTCTTTGTGCTTCATTTACTTGAACTGAAAAATAAAGATAATAATAGTATCTCTTCACAGATATGTTGTGACGATTATACACACAGTAAGTGCTCTATAAATGTTTATTATTCTTCTTTTCATTAGAGAATAGCCAAAAAGCAGCCATATGGTAGTGAAGGAAGAGGAAAATATTTTCATGGAATGTGAGCTCAGTAGTGTGGTAGAAGCTTAGGAGTACCTGCTGGATACTTTGGAGAGAGAAACAAGAAGAGACACTAATTAAAAAACATCGACAGGGGCTTCCCTGGTGGCGCAGTGGTTGGGGGTCCGCCTGCCGATGCGGGGGACGCGGGTTCGTGCCGCGGTCCGGGAGGATCCCACGTGTGTCACAGTTTATAAAGATTCACAAATTCCCTCTGAGAGAGAAAAATTAAATGTGGTGGTAAAGAAATGAATTCAAAACTAGGGTCAGAGAACAAATTTCAAAAATGCAGATATATTTTTGGTTGGGGAACCACGTCTTATTCTATACTTAAAAAAAAAAAAAAAAAAAATCGACAGTTCCATTCTTAAAAAACTTGGGTATGGGTGAGGACTTCAGGGTGCACAATGTACACAAGAAATTGTATATTTCCATTGGAATGAAGCATTTAGCAAACATTTGTCATTTGTTTTGTTTTTGTTTTTGTTTTTTGCCTAGATCTGTTCTGTTTCACTTTATTCCAGTCCACTTCTGGTATGAATTCCTGCATGTTAAGACGCTTTTGTTTATAAGCAACCCAAACCAAATCTGGCTTACTAAACTGAAAATGTACATGGATATAGTTCACAAATTAAAGGAACTGCTCTAGAAAGAGCCTCCGGAAGAGCTCAAGTATACTCCATAGAGATCATCAGTAGGAACTCATGAACCTTCTCTTCAGGAAACCACCATGAGATGGTAGCTCAAACTACCAGCAAAGGGAGTATTACTGCCCCAATTTGGGTCAGGTCTTTCAATTCTTTGGTTAGTTAGCTATGCCAAGGGACAAGGGAGGAAACACAGATTTAATCAGTTTAGAATTTTTAAAAACTAGACAGGCATACCAATTGCATCTAAAATGACAATAGCTTAATAATTCCTTCTCTTAGTTTTTTTCCTTAATGAGTGACTTACAATATTCATATTAGCTTCTGGATTTGTTGAGCTTCCTTCATTTTGACTACCATATATAGGTCCAAGAAGAAGCATCCAGCATGTTGCTGTTAAAAGCTGCCACATTTGGAATCTGACTGGGAAAGGAAATATTAATATATTTGTCATCAAAGAGAATTCTGCAAGTGAAACTCAGTGTAATCTTTCTATAACACTACTGAGAGAGGGAGTAGAAAGATGTTTCTAGGTTGTGTCTTAACAAGTAATATACTTAATTATTCAAGACTCATCCCATGAAAAATCTGAAATGGTGAATTTTTGGTAAGAAAAAAAAGAAAGAAGAAAGGGAAGAAAGAAGAAACAAAGAAACCAACATCAATTAAATCTCCAATAGATAACCAAACAAAAGGATATGTATAATTCACAGAAAAATGCAATGGCAAATGTATTAATCAAAGCACATTTAATATCTCTAGTTATCAGATAAATTAGTACTCTTCTGATGGTGGGAGTGAGCATTGGCACAACCTTAATGGAAAGAGATTTATTAACATGCATTATGAATTTTTAAATATTTATACACCTCACTCAGTATAATTCTATTTCCAAAATCTATCCAAAAGAAATATATATAGATACAAGCATCATTTATAAAATTATCCCTTATTGTCTATCTTAACATAGGGAAATTTGCCAAAATAAGACATTGATAAAATAAATTACGGGGGCAGAAGAAAGGAATTATTCAGCCACCAAATATTACGTTTTTGTGTGATATGTGAATTCCTATTATATAATATTAAGGGCAAAACAATGTAACTTGTACATATATTTTGATAACAAAATATAATGAGAAAAAAAGGACTAATCATCAAATTTTAATTATGGTTATATCTAGGTGATAACTATTTGGGTGATTATTTTCTCATTTTTAAAGGATTCTCCATACTTTCTAAATTTTCTATATCCAGTATTATTTTATCATAAGAAGGAAGTTATTTTTCAAATAGAAAATTGTGAAAATTATGGGGGGAAAAAGATGACATGTATTCCTCATTTGGCTTTTTTTTTTTTCCTCATTTGGCTTTGAAACTATTTCAGTTTAAAAACAAACAACAACTGCAAAAGTAACAGAGGGGGACATTTTGCAGGAGACTTCCCATTAACTACTATATAAAATGAAGATCTTCAAATTATGCTAGAAAACACGCTATCTGCTAATCTGTTTTGTTTTCCTCTAGAAAGAGATAAAGACAAAATTTAAGCCAAAGTAAGTTTAGCTCCAAAGCAAATGCCCTTATGACAGGATTATGCATTTGCTTAGGTCAGGCAAATAAGAATTGTGTATACACGTAGTCTTCTCTTGGTATCCGGGTGAGATCAGTTCCAGAACTCCCCCACTTACCACCCCCATGGAAACCAAAATCCACAGATGCGCAAATCCCTTATGTAATTGTCATAGTATTTGCATATAACCTATCCACATCCTCCTGATATTTTAAATTGTCTCTTTATTACTTATAATATGTAAGTATTATAATGCAATGTAAATGCTATATAAATGGTTGTAAATACAGTGTAAATGCGATGTAAATAGTTGTAACACAAGGAAAATTCAAGTTTTGCTTTTTGGAACTTTCTGGAATTATTTTTCTGAATATTTTCTATGTGGAGCTCACAGATATGAAGGGCTGAATGTCTACTATGGGGTTCTGTAAAGCAGAATAGTCACTTCTCTCTCTTCTCTGTGCTTTCAACACCACTTCCCCCACTTCCGTTTTTTCTTTTCTCTTTCTTTGTCAGATTGCTCCAATTCTACATTTCAAATAGATTTTTATATCAAATCAACATATAAGAGAGATGGCAAATCTCACCGTGTAGGAAATGGAAGGATTTTTCAGACTATGCCTTCACTATTCTGTTACAGAAAATTCCATCAGCTCCTCTCTTGGATTTATCCAAGTCATAATCTCTGTTGACTATATGTATTAATATAATTAATTTATACCATAATTAATATGATTAACTATATATGAATTAGGTAGTACATATGTAATTTTATATTAATGTAATATATTTATATATAACTAATATTGATTAATATAGCCAAATTCTGGTGAAACTCTATTATGATATGGTAGTGATAATAATACCACCACAATAATTATTGTTACTATTACAACTTGTTTTGAGCACCCATTATGTGCCAAGTAAGGTGTCAGACATGATTGTGATTATCTCATTTTATCCTCAAAATAATCCCAAGGGATAAGAAATATTATTTCAATTTTATTTCAAATGAAACCTGGTCTTGAGTTCAAGTCATTTGCCTGAGGTCAAAGAGGTAGTGATGGAGCCAGGATCTGAACTCAGGTTGTCTGACTCTAAAGGAAATGCTCTGAATCATCATGCTCTTAACCACTCAGTCCATTCAGAATAGACATACTAGGGTTCTCTGCCAAGAACCTGATTAGTGTTACCTGTGGCCTATACACCACAGGGATCATAATCACCATTAAAAACAATAAAGACTTTTAGAATCCACCCCAGCCAACCTGGATGAGAATCTATGGGGGTGTGGCCAGGGATCTGCATTTTAAACCCTCATTTCAAGGGATTCATGTGCATTCCCAACCTGTGAAAGACAGACTGACTGGATTCCTTGAGAGGAGAAAATGTTTCATTCTCACTTTTGTCTCTCTGAGACCCAGCATGAAGTTTTGAGAAATGAAATATTGCCTGCCATATCAGTAAACAAAGGATGTCACAGTCATCAGCGACTGCAGCTCTTCAATGGCGAGCAGGTGAGTCCTGAGGGAACTCAGGAAGGAAACAAAGAATACCTGCCATCTAGCAGGCATCAGACTGCAGCCATTCCAAAAGTGAGCCCTGAGGAAACTCAGGATGTGAAAACACAGGATGCTGGCCCCAGATAGCTGAGGTGCATATCAAAGGAATGATTTCAGTGAGTCCAGACTCTTGCATCTTCCCATAAATAGAAATGTGCTAAATTCCTTAACTTGAGAGGTCTAGTTTTCTTTCATTAACAGTTTCTTTTGTTCCTACTACCTGCTCTTTGTTGCAAAACTCCTATATATCCTAGCTCCCCCCTCGCCTCCTAGGAGCAGTTTTCTCAGGGTTACTTGAGATGCTGCCTCCTGGGCTTGAAGTCCTCAGTATGCCCACTCAATAAAACATAACTCTCAACTTTTAGGTTGTGTATGTATCTTTTAGTCGACACTTCCTATAAATGTTTGCCAAATAGACAGATGGATGAAAGAGAGAATGAGTACATCATTTAATCTTAAAGAGTATCCCAAATTGACTCACTATTTTGTATCATATCTTTCTTGCCTGCTTTCATTTTACCCCACTGCATTGCTACTCTCTTTTTGACAGTGAGAGCTGATTAATACCTTAGTTCAGGTCTGTATCTTACAGGAAGGTAGTAGGGCAATTTAAAAAAATTAGTCCTTTCTCTCAAGACATTTACAATTTAGATGCTCCAACATCTGTTGAGTATTGATACTTGAGGCCTCTGGGTTACAATCATTGGCAAGTGACCCTGGGACCCCTGAGTTAGAGCAGATCTGACCCTCTTCTAAAAAGGGAAGGCTGGAGAGCTTGTGTGGCTTGTAATGATGCAGGGAGGAGGGCTGTGTGCTGCTTATTGGAAGAGCTGAAGTCGAGTCCCCAGCGATGGAACAAGAATGTGTACTAGTCATGACACGTTGTATTTTGCAGCCATGACATAAAGCCCATTCAGCTACATTTGTTTTGTTCTTCTGTGTAATGGATCTGGATGTGGGAAGGTGACACACCCAGGCAAGAGGTGTCTCTGTGTTATATTTTCTAAAGAGTAGCATGGTCTAACCAAATAGGCTTTGTTCAGGCACTTCTCACCAGGGCTGTGCTTATCTGTGCTTTCTAGGCGTGTGTTTGTAATAGCGAAGAACAAATCTGACTCCATGTTGGATCTGTTTCTTTTACTTTAACCTTTGCTTTCTGTTGCTTTTGTTGCAAGTTACTGTAATCACTGAAAGGATGTTGTCTATAGCTATAAGCATGCATAATGGCCTGTCTCAGGGAACCCTGCCCCCTCTGCCTGAATGTTAAACTAAAGTACCTTTGTTCACCTCACAGGGAAACATCCTGACCCTGCCCACCTGTGAATGGCTGCAGGAAAGAAGAAATTAACACATCACCTCCCTGAGTCTCGTGAAACCAGGAGATATTATGCAAGACTTATGGCCTTTTTACTTTACCTGCTCACCTCCCCCATCTCTGTTCTATAAAAGAAGCTAGCTTCCAGACCACGGTAAGATGGTTCTCTAGGACTCTAGTCCACCATCTTCTCGGATGCCTGGCTTTCTGAATAAAGTGGCTGTTCCTTGCCTCAACAACTTGGCTCCCGATTTATTGGTCTGTTGTGTGGCGAGCAGTGAGCTTGGACTCTGTAACATGTTTACCTGCTCTGCCTGATCTGAGCCTCACAATATTTATTATCATTGTTGGGTAAATCCACCTGATTCAGGCACTTCTACTTAATGATACTCCAACAATCCTCTAATCTCTTTGACCTGTTTCTAGGATAGCTTCCTGATGAATGCATCCTACATTGACCTCCTGCTGATTCACACTAATGTATATATGGATGTTTGACTAAGAAGAGAGAAGACGTCGCAAATTCCAGGGGACTTTTAGTTCTTAAAGAGGAGACCATTATCTTCAAGAGCCCAGACTAAATCAATATAGATTTATTTATTATAGGTTTATATATATATATATATATATATATATAATCTACACAGACTATATTGGTTTATTACTCTAAAGCATTTCACATTGCTTTCCTATAAAACATGACTCTCATAAGATGCTATTTGTAAAAAGAACTCATGGAAAACATACATTACAATATTTAGACATAAATATATGTTTTTTAGACTATATATGTTTATATATACAAGCTATATACATGAGTTGCTTGGAGAGTCTTAAATTACAATATCATAATTAAGACTCAATATGGTCCTTCAATCAAGACTCTGTTTAACTTATTTAATTTACTTTTCCATAGTTTTATTTGCTCTTAGAATTTTATCATTTGAATAACACCAATTAAA